GGTGCGCGCACCGGCTGTTTGCATAAGTAGAGTGTGCGGGCAGTTCCTGGGAGCTCGGGTGAGGTGGCTGGGGGCGCTTTCGTAATGCCTGTGAGCAGAAAGCGAGTTATTTGTGACTGACTGGAGGCACCCCGTGGCCGATGGGAAGACCGCGTTTCGGCGGAGGGTCCTGAGGGGATTCTCCGTGTTGATCCGGTGCCGAAGCAGCTCCAGTGAGTCTGAGAAGTCGCGCGCTTCAGAAAGCGACAGTCTAAGCGCTCCCTCCGTTGTTGCTGTCCTTTCATCAGTACTAGTTAGCGCCTGAAAAATCTATTTCTAGGTTCAGATGGCGTTTTTAATTAAATTCCTACATATTTGCATGCAGAATAAGGGAAAGTTTGTGTGAAGATACTTTTGGTAAATGTAGGATGGTTAGAAGCTGTATGCCAGGCATACTTTTGCCTGATGTGCTGGGAAAACACACGCTAAGCTTTGAGGACTAAGCAGGTGGGGAAAATTGCGTGTTAGAAGGAAGAGAGCTACCGTGGTTACGTGTTGGAAGTGGTCATCTATAGATGGGAACGCTATGTACGGTAGTGTTACATACTAAGTTTGAAGCAACCATTGGAGTGTACTTATTGCTGGGTCGATCTTAAGAGTTGATACATTTTTTCAGTCTTTGTTGCAGTATGAACGCTCTCATCTGCAGTAGGCTACTACATAGGTTCTTCAGGTACCCTACCATATGTCTAAAGATCGTATTTTTACTTCTCTGAAGGAATACCTATTACCAGTGCCTCGTATTATGCCACCATGACACTCGAGCAAGTTAGGCATGTGTTTCGCTCTGACACGGAAGTTCCCATGCCTTTGATTGAAGAGAGACATCGCGTGCTGAATGAAAGTGGAACAATTCTGTTGGAGAAATTTGGAGGCTCTTTCCTCACCTGTGTTAAAATGAGTGAAAAAAGTGCTCAGAAACTACTACGTTTAGTAGTGGAAAATTTCCCTTCTTACAGAGATGAGGCTGTATTTGAGGTAAGTTGGTTCTAACACTGAATTTTTGTCATGGGAACTTACTCTGTACTAATTGTGGCTCTATAGCTATTAAGCTGTCTGTGAAAGTTCTGAAAGGGCAGTCAAGAAGTTAAAAAATTGAAAAAAAAAAAAAAAAAATCCCGACCAATTCACAAGTCTTAGATCTCGAAAAACAGGAGATGATAGTAATTACCATTATTTTAGCATTTCACCTAAAATTGATGGAGATTGGTCTATATAATGAAAAGAAAATCAGACTTTGAAACTGCTGTTCTTAACCTATGTTGCTATTAGTAATAAAGATAGGGAAGTTTTTTACAGATAATACTTTTGGACTAAAGTATACCTCTTTGTTAAGATGAGATAAAACTATCTAGATTTCATTTCTCTACTAATCTTATCTTTGAAAACAAAATCACAGAATTTATTAATGAAGAATTTTACTCAAGTTCTTGAAATGCAGTTTTGTATTTCTTATGAGTCACTTTTTTCCAGAAAAAGTTTTTTTTTTTTTTTTTTCCGTATGCTGTCTGTTTTCATCATTCTGTTGTAATATATTACAATAACGTCTGAGGTCCCAGCTGGATAGGAAACACATGGTACCCTCTGCATATACCTCATGTTTGAAGTAATTTTTTGCCAGAAAATTCGGAATTGGTTTCTAATCCTCCCCCCATCACTTTATCTTGAGTTTCTCTGCAGCTAACGAAGGAAATGAGGCCCTGATAGAACTGTGAAAATGTACGACTATGGGGAATCCAGACTATTGTTGATTCAGTAGGCACTGCTCGAACAACTGCAGTCCAGATTTAAGCCCAAAAATATCATGCTTTTGTCAGGGTTGACAGTACACTGAAGCTTTTTGAAACAGTTCAGTTTCCCTGAAAGAAGAAAGCTGCTGGGAAGTAGCGTGTATTTGGTATCTTAGGCATCTTTAGTTTTATCTGTACAGACATGTTCTTTGTTAAGTGTTACTGGTATATCTAGCTTCCCCTGTGTTCAGTCCCATCTACGGTAGTATTCATCAGTTATGTCATTATGTCAGGAAGACTTTCTTCTAGTGATAGTACAGCCTATAACTATTACTCGGTGCAGTCTTTTCAAGATAACTCCCTGGAACACCATTCATGGGGGCTTGAAGCTAATTGCACTTAACCGCTGAAATCTGCTCTTGAGTAGGTGGCGTCATTTTATTTTCCTGTCTCGTACTGCAGAGTAACTTACCATGCTTGCATAAACAATCACAGGTTATCGCTAACTAATCTTTGAAGCTACTAATTTAACTCACTGGTATTTTTTTATGTATGGAATAAACTTTTTGAGGATAATTTTTTTTTGTGATCAAAAAGGAAATATTTTCCGAGTGATGAATAGAATATTCTTTCTTATTTTTATAGTAACTGTATTCACTGACGTAAAGTCTTTCATGAGATGGTGCTCAGTGCTTTATACAGCAAGGCTCGCTAAAAGCAGCAGCAGGCTACAGAATGAAAAGCTGTTCCAAAAATGACCGTAAGCATTGACAAAGCAGTAAAGCCTATTGCACCAATACTGCAGCTGTTTTCTGCTTTCACAAAGAAAGCTGTGTATTTTGAAGGTGGGTGAAATAACGTAGGCCAAGTTTACACCCTGTTGTAACAAAGCCAGTGTTATCACCTCCACCTCGTACCAAGGTGACAGGGATCGTATTATCAACATTGTTTGTATGGCAGCAGGTTGACATCTCACAAAAAAGACTTTGCCTTCAATACAGAAGTGGGAGGGAGTTGCCAGCAAAGTGTGAAATCCAAAGAGAAAGCAGCGATCTTCAATGACTCTCAGGAATGGAAATATGTTTGATAATTAAAATCTGTGCGAGTAGACTCGTACTATCACAGTTCAAAAGTTACTCGGATAGATTATGACAACTTTCCTCAGTTATGTTCTGACCTCCTACGGTAAGTTCTGAAATTAAGACAATTCTTTGGCTATATGTTTTACCAAACATAGACACAAAACATTTTTCAAAACTATACATTACTGAGTGTATTTGTATAAATTACCAATGTTCCTTTCCTTCTGAAAAGTGAATTGCAAACCACAGCCAAACCCTTCCAAAACCCTTTTGTACTTGCATGGATTTTTTTTTTTTTTTTGTTTCCTATGGCTTTAAACTTAAGTGCATTTATATACAAATTTAAATGCTGTGCTGAATTTGAATCATGGCAGAAGTTATTCAAGCTATGTTATGCTTGCATATTCAGGATTTTCGTGCGCTGATGTATATGCCATGGAGTCCTTTCAGAGCTTCCAGTCATTGACACTGCATGTGTCAACCTTTTTTTTTTTTTTTTTTCCCCCATCCCCTAGGACTCATAATATAAAATAATGATCTACCTATTCTCTGATTTTGTTGTTTTTGTTGCACCAGTTGTGCTCTTTTTGATGTTTTACCAACCTGATACTCCTTCTCTCTCTTCATATCAATAGGTCAATTAGTTATATCTCTCGATACTGGCTTATTGTAGTGGGGAGAAGAGACAGATGTCCCCGTTCTGGTAGTTTTCCTTGGAAAGTGACAGAGTTCTTGAAAAAGCAGTTTAGTAGTATTATGATCAGGTAAAATACTCCATTTTGTACAAGTGATGCTATCTTTTAGACATATTATCATCTACGTAAGGCTTTCATTACTTTTCTGTTGAAAAGAGCGGTGGAAAACTATTTGTATTCATAAATATAACTTTAAACAAACTTCAGAAGGTCTGTGCAGTATAGAAATTAATAATAATTGAAACAATGAAATTACAAATCTGTGTGCTTGATGAAAAGTCCCAGACAGTATTTTTCTGCCAAATTAAGTTGCTGCGCAGGGTGAAAAGTTCCATTTGAGTTCTTCCTTCTTCGAGTTCTGTAAAATGGTGTAGTGATGGAGGCTTAATGCTATCAGAAGAGCAATCTTTGTCTTTGATTTTTTCATTAGCTTCAGGGCTGTAGGAGCTGTAAAGGGATTTGATCTATTAATTCTTTACTTCCTGTTGTGGTGTTTTAAATACTATTTCATTATATAACATACAAGATTGTCTATAGTATTCTCTAGAATTAAGTTTATCTATGCCAAATAGGGAGTGAAGTGCAGAGAAAGAAACAACTTTCAAAACGTTTGCAGAAGTTGCTGTTGTGTGAAATGCAGTAGGACATCTTGTTTTCAGTGTTTTTGGAGAATAACACTTGAGGACCAAAATACACTTTGTTTTCTGGAATAGTCTGTGGCATCTTGGCAGTAATGTAAGATTAAATCTTTTTTTTAAATGTCCTTTGTAAATTGTGACTATGTGAAGGAGGATGGTAGAGTAACACTGGGAAATGAATAGAATTCCCATCTTGTATTTTAGAGTAGCCATTTCAGTTATATCATGTTGGTAGGCACACTTTATCAAAAACTGAAAATCTGTTTCAGCTGTAAAGAAAAAGAAGCCCTAACACAATTGTAGCTATTTTTTTAAAGATGCAGATTTACTTTCACACGTTTTGCTTTGTCTTAGAGTGAAAGCCTTAAATCCTTACAGATCAGAGCACATTTTTAGCTTTTCCTCTTGTAAGTAATGACAACAGCAAATACATTTTTGCAGGTTTAGCACCAGCAATAAAATATTAGACAAAAATAGAATCATAGTACTTAAGAAAATCTCATATTTGCGAATATGCTATTCCTGAAATTAATTTCCTTCTCCCCTCTTTAACCAGGAAGATGTACTGCACACTACAGAGTCATTCAATACAGTTTTCACTAGAATTTTGTTTCCTTAACATTCGGGATAAGGTGATTAACAAAACATGTCGGTTGTCTAATGTAATACATGCTCTACTTACGCTTCTCTCCTCCAAATAAATGGTTGGATGAGCACCAGAGTTGCTGAAATAATTTGTATTTGCTGGACTGCAATCACAATGCTTGCCTAGTAGAAATAAACAAATATGTATGTGTTCTGAGATCTGAGTGTAATCTAAGCAATTTTTTAATTGAACTACAGTAATCTACAGTAGATTTCTCTTTCTCTTTACAGTAGACTTCTCTTCAGAAGTTAATGAGGATTCCGTATGATATCTCTCTGTGGTTCAATAGTATCTTATTTTTAAGGTGTTCATAGTGTTGTTCTTTTGTCCTGTGTATTAATTAAAATAATTGCTTGATCAAAATGTTAGTAAGTTGTGTTTTCTAGAACAATGTAACTCCATATGTCTCTCTGTATGCGTAATTTTCTCTATATATTGCTCTCTCTGAGGCACTTAAATAATTTGGGCATTTTTCTTTATCAGAATAAAAAGGTGTCCTTTTACAAACGAGCACAAATACTTGTGGCTGATACGTGGAGTGTATTAGAAGGCAAAGGAGATGGCTGCTTTGGTGACGTTTCTAGTCTGACTATATTTGCCGACTACAGGATCCCTCAAGTTCTTGTTCACCTAAAAGCAATGAAATACTCTGAGGAACTAATGAAGAAACTACGTGAAGGTTTGTACCTCCCTTATTAACACTGAGTAATTGTGTTTTCTGATAGTGTAGGCTAAATCTAATTTTCAAATGTAATATTTTGTCGTTATGAGGGTTGGGGGGTTTGTGTGTTTGTTTGTTCTTTTTTTCCTGCGAGGAATGAGGAGTTCTTATGTAGTGAGGAGGTAACAGGGGAGATCTCGTTCTCTAACAGTAATCTCGAATGAGATGTTAAACTTCCTTTCTTTAATCCAAGGAACAGCTTGTTCTTTATAAATGTCAGAGAGAGAGGATTAAAGAGACTCTAAGTGAGTTGATTTCCGAGTTTGAAAAAGGCAGGCCGCTCTTACGAAAAGCTTTTCAGCAGGCACGTAGGTGTGGTTTTCAGGGTTTAGAAGCACTGATTTCTTTGTTAGTTCAAAGAAGATGTAAAAGTATCGAGATTCCTGTTTGTCTGAACTGAACTGCTAGCAACTACTGTTTACATGAGGACAAGCAAGGTAATACTTATAAATGTCCATTTAAAAATGTCATAGCTTTTGATGAAGATAATCATGCAAGATGAGAAATGAATCTCACTCTTTAACCGTGGTTCCATTTTCCTGCACATATTAACTATAAACCTCAATGAATAAAGATATAAACCAATCCTTTTGCTGCCGTAAAATGACTATTTATAGGGAGAACTGCCATTTCTCAGTTCTGACGTTACAGAGCAGGATAAACAGACCAACACAATTGTCCGAGCATCTTAATAGAATGGCTACATATGTAAAAGGGACCCATTTATTTGAATTACTTGGATGGGCACGTCCTTATTAGGATTCATGGAAAAGATAAACTGTCTACAGGATGTATTTAATCTCTCATCTTCTTAAAAGGAGTGAAGTTAACCCTTGCAAAAAAAAGAGTGTGTGTGTGTGGGGGGGGGGTCCTCCGAATTGTGTTTGGGTATCCTTTTCTCTCAACAAGAAAAGAAATAGTCATATAATGTGCAGTATAACCCAAACACCTGTTATTTTCTTAATCCGCTCTTAAAATACATGATAGCCTTTTAACTGAATGAGAGACAAACTTACAGATACGTATCGGTAAGCTTGAAGCAGTTCATAGGAAATGTGTAGCAACTCTGTTATTGATGGTAGTGAAAGCAGTCAAAATTGCAGTCCTAGGAGAGAATAAATATGAATTAAAAATAAAATTCGGGACACTTTGGGGCTTCTGTCTCTCGTATATAATTGAATTGCTGTTTCTTGTGTCCTGCAGGAGCAATTTTCCAGTCTGGAGATAAACGAGAGGTGGAGATCCGTGGTTGTTCTATCTGGTGTTGTGCATTGATTTGTAAGCAGCTGCTGGAGCTCTATGAGAAGAAGGGTCAGGACATGCGTGAAAAGATCAATGCGGTTTTACTCGATTATTACCTTTGGGACTATGCCAGGGATCACAGGGAAGACATGAAAGATATCCCATTTCATAGAGTACGATGCATATATTATTAATACCAGGCTCATAGCAGTTATATCGATGCCTTATTCTGCATTACTCTTTTCATATGTTGGTCTTGTCAAATACTAATTTGGAACTTGCAAAGTAAATACTGACTTTCCGATGATGCGTTTAGTTGCGTTTATTGTTTAGATGTGTTTAGATGCGTTTATTGTTTCTCCTGAATGTTTCGCTAGCCATGACAGGAACTAGTAGGGTAAAACTTACATGGGTGATCCATATTAATTCAGGGTTTTATTACTCATGCTTCCAGGTCTGTGCTTGCCTGTGTGCTTGTTTGTGTGTGTACGTGTGTACACACTTACGTAGATATCTGTCTTTACACTGCAGGCAGTTGTTTTTGTGGCAACAGCATGCCGCAACAAATATGTTGCCAAAGCTACATGGAGATGCCCTGTTGTTTGTGTTCAAGAAAACCTGAACTTTTCCTGTCACGATTGACTAGAGCTGAGTAATTAAAATGCGGGTATGATTTATAATGCAAGTTATATCAGTGCACTGGTTATTTAAAAATCAAATAAAGTCTGCAAAGCCCCAGAGTCTCTCCCCGTGGCGGTTTCCGTGAGGTGAGGGGCGG